CCCAACAATGGCACAGTAGCTCACTGAAAGGTTTGAAGAGTTTTTACGTTTTATTTTTCACCAGTGAAATGCATAATTTTCCAATGAATACAGCGGGTAAAATAAGTATTGAACACGTCACCATTTTTCTCAGTAAATATATTACTAGAGGTGCTAATGACATGAAATTTTCACCAGATGTCAGTAACAACCCAAATAACTTCATTTCTGGACATTTATGGTTTGATTTCTTTGTATGTATGGATCACTTGGGTTGTTACCAACATCTGGTGAAAATTTCATGTCATTAGCACCTCTAGTAATATATTTACTGAGAAAAATGGTGACATGTTCAATACTTCTTTTACCTGCTGTATTTGCAAAACCTAAAAATGAAGTTTATCTGTTTGAACATTAAAATATCTGTTATAGTTTGTCTGGATTCTTGTGTTACTTTGGTTCTGGTCTGGTTTTCTGTCTTGTCCCTCTCTGTTTACCCCCTCCTGCCTGTCTTTGCTCCAGCCCCGCCCACTCTCACCTGTTCCTCATGTTGGTCTCTCAGGTGTTTCTTGTTTCTGCTTGTTGGTTCTCCTCTATATTCTGTTCTCTGTTTTCAGTCTGTGTCAGATCTTTAACTGTTGGTGTTGTCTCATGCTATGCCCAAGAGTCTGTATCTTGTTTGCTGCCACGCCAGCCTTTGTTTTGTTTTTGCTTTAATAAACTTTTTTGCCACCAACACTCAGTCTGCATCCTGGGGTTCTGACCATCCAATCTCAATCAAAACAATTAGTGATGGTGAGATGAAGCTTTATGATGCATTGAAGCTTTCCATCCAACTGGTCGACACGAGTCGAAGCATCGTCATGCTTCATTTGCTCTCCTGCGCCATCAAGTGGACAATAAGTGTGAACCAGTTTATAATGAGGTGACTTGTTTATGAAGCTTTAAGTTGAATAAAGAAAAAAGCATGTGTGTGTTTGTGATGATCATAAATGAAGTCTAAATTTGATTTGAATATAATTTTAATCTCTCTTGATCATAGAATCATCATTGAGCATTTGATAGAATGAAGAAAGGAAAGTGCTTGGAGAGAAATAGGGAAAGAGTATTGATGTGAATGTGCTTGTGTGGTTTTGAGATGGTGCTGACATGACACAATGTTTTTAGTTTGAACTTAAAAACCACTTTTTAAAAAGTAAATTAATTTTTATTTAAAAACAGAACAAATACCATACAAAAATAAAATAAGTCAGAAATAAAATGAAAGGTAGCAGAAAAGAAAAGAAAATCTTATTAAATCTTAACTTTTCCATTGTACTATGATCCAGACAGTTTCTCTTTTTTAAATACATGAGGTGTCTGTTGTATCCAAGTTCTAATGAGCATGACACCTCACCTTTAAGACACCAGAAATTAGAAAAAAACAAATCAAAACTCACGATCCACTGTGTTGAGTTTTTTGATATTTTGGTAGTTATTATCAGCAATGTTTTAATACTATGTGCATAAATTATTATTATTTTTATCATTATTATTATTATTGTTATTATTAGGAGACCGGGGGAAATTTCCTTTTCCTTGCTGGTTCCAGCGGACAAAAAGTCGCACAGCTGAATAACTTAAATGCACGCAATATAATTTCATGACAACGTTATGGGAGATTCAGCAGCGTTTTGCTGCCTCTTTTGAATTATGCGCATACAGGCGAACCAGTTCCTGAATCAATCACGTGGTACGACCCGCCAGCAAGGCTTCGAACAAGCGTCACCAACACAAGCCTCGATACGCGCTCCACAAAAGCCCCTCTATTACTCGGCACACGCTTCGAAGCCTCGACACAGAAGGACACATCACTAATAACAATGTCTTAACGTTGTCATGTATTCAATTAAATATAGGTTGAAAAGGCTTTGCAAATCATCACATTAATCTCAAAGTTAGTGCTTGTCTTCATTATTTTAGTTACTGTTAAACTTGACAGTTTGGTGGTAATCTTGTTCTTCAGAAAGTGTTTTTTTGGGGGGGGGTGGCTAAACAGAAATACAGTGTTATTACACAGGAAAGTTTTAAATATATCAACATGGGAGTTAGACAGCTGCATTCTGAGAACAGTACTGTCACTTCCTGGAGTTAAACATTACTCATACAGCAGGTTCATTAAGAAAACACAATTTATGATTCATTTTAAGTGTAAACACATGACAACAAGAGGTTCTGTCTTCTTAACAGTATGTGTAAAGTTTTTATTTGATTCATTTATCCTGTTTGACATGTTTTTTGTTGTTCTCTTAGTAAAAAGTGAGGCCAGCAAAGAAACATGTTTTAATCAAGCATTGAACAAGTAAACAGCTGAACCTGATAAAGCACATTGGAACATGTTTGCTTGTACAAGCAGTCCTCCACAGTCTGAGCTCAGTGTGGTACCTTGGCTGTCGCGTGGTTCAGCATTTCTTGCCAGGTTGAGTCTACGGTGTTCTTGTCAGCGAGGAGGCCTTGCTCGGCCACGTAAACCATCTCTCTCGCAGCAGTGTGCATGGACACGGCCCTCTCGTACCTCAAAGCTGCTTTCTGGGTCTCTTTTTGGGCCTTTGGGCAGAAACACTAAAGTCAGTAAAATAGACTGAGACTCTCAGACTGCACAAGATGTTTTTTTTTAAATGAAAAAAGTATTGCTAATTAGTGAACACCTAATTCATTTCAGGTTTAACTGTTTCGTATTGCTGCAGATTGCCGTCCTCTGAGTCAGTGGTGGTTTTTCCACACAATGCTGTGGGCAACAATTCATGAGAAGCAGCCAACGTCAGTCCCTTACGTCACTGCCCCGCTCTGTAGGCGTCTACTCATGGGGTCCACAAAACCCTGAAAATGTAAGCTGCATCTGATGTCCTACACAGCTGACAGTATCCCACAATTCATTGCACCATCAGCAAATTAAACATTAAAACAAAGGTTTTAATTTTACAGCTGTATGTACACTGTAGGTACACTATATGTACACTGTATGTACACTGTAACCATAATGTATGTACACTGTAGGCATACTGTAGGAACACTGTATGTACACTGTATGTACACTGTAACCATACTGTATATACACTGTAGGTACACTGTTTGTACACCGTAGGTACACTGTAACTATACTGTATGTACACTGTAGGTATACTATATGTACACTGTAGGTGCACTGTATGAACAATGTATGTACACTGTATGTATACTGTAGGTGCACTGTAGGCACACTGTAGGTACACTGTAAGTACACTGTATGTACACTGTAGGTACACTGTATGTACACTGTAGGCATACTGTATGTATACTGTATACTGCAGGCATACTGTAGGTACACTGTATGTACACTGTATGTATAATGTATGTACACTATGTACACTGTACGTACACTATGTACACTGTATACCATAGGCACACTGTATAAATACTGTAGGCACACTGTAGGTACACTGAATGTATACTGTAGGTAGACTGTAGGCCCACTCTATGTATACTGTAGGTACACTCTATGTATACTGTAGGTACACTGTAGGAACACTATGTACACTGTATGTACACTGTAAGCATATTGTTGGTACACTCTATGTATATTGTATGTACACTGTAAGCATACTGTATGTACACTGTAGGCATACTGTAGGTAAGCTTTAGGTACGCTGTAGGTACACTGTAGGTACACTGTAGGTACACTGGAGGCATACTGTAGGTACACTGTAGGTATGTTGTAGGTCAGGGGTGCCCAACCAGTCGCTCGTGGGCGACTCGTCGCCCGCCAGCTGATTCCCAGGTGCCCGCACATCGCAACCTCACTGCGGAGCCTCTAGCACCGGCTTTGAGCATCGCATCCCGGAGTGGCTGGTCTTGTTTGAAAGCTCTGGTTCTGCCCTACAAGGTGTAAGCTGAATGAAGTCCCTGCGATGGAGCAATAAGCAAAAACCATCCAAAATACGCACCGTCGGACCTCCCGCCAGGGTGGTTTTAGTCCCCCCCTCCTGGGCTAGGAGTGTCAGATCCTGGCGTGGATGGTCCGGTTTTAAAGCCCTGGCTCTCCCCTACAAGCTGATACTTGATTGGAGTCTCTGTGACGTTTCTCTGCGGAGCTATATGCAAATTACGCATGACTTAGTGCATTTCACGTGCATTTTTGGGAGGAAATTTCAACCTTTGTTTGCTTCTCCTGTGAGCTCTGAGCATCGGATCCCGGAAAGTGAGATGACTTTGGAAAGCTGCGGTCCTCCTCTACCAACTGAAGGTGGTTGCAAGTTCCTGGGACCTTCCCCTGCGGAGCTATTAACCAACGACCGGCTGAAAAAGGCGCTTTGGCGGGCGATATAGTACTCAATTTACTCCGGAGCCTCTAGCACCAGCTCTGAGTGCCTGATCTGACGAAGATGGTTCATTTTAATGTTCTGGATCTCCGCTACAACCTGGAGGGGGTTGCAAGTTCTTGGGACGTTCCCACGCAGAGATATAAGCAAGCAAATGTCATTGGGCGAGCTCCGGCAGGTGAAACGGCTGATTTCCAGCACGGGGCTGCTTGTGCTGATGCAGGGGGATAAAAGGAAGAGATCCAGTGAGGTGGAACCATGGTCCTACGTCCAGAACCTGCTCTCCCACCTGGATTCAGCCAGAAACCCCTGGCGGGCGATATTTCTGCAAAAATGCATAAAATTCAGAAACCCACCTGATGAATCTGTTCCAGGCAATAAAAGGAACAGATTTGGTCAGGTGAAACTGGTCCTGGAAGCTCAGCACTGGGTTTTATAACAGCCTTCCCCCTGAACCACCGGTGGGCGATATTTCTGCAATAACGCATAAAATTCAGAAACCCACCTGATGGATCTGTTCCAGGCAATAAAAGGAACAGATCTGATCAGGTGAAACCAGTCCTGGAAGCTCAGCACTGGGTTTTATAGCTGCCTGCGAGAGAGTTTTATATTGTGTGTTTTGATTTTGGAAAAAAATGGCAGCACTCTTGTTGTAGCCATGTTGACCCTGATAGATTTTTGTTTTATTTTTCCTCCCCTGTATGGAGAGAAGAGAGGAGAGTTCTTTGAATAAATGGAGACGAGTTCCCATGCTCCAAAGTTATTTGACTCTGTGGTTCTCACTGGGCAGGTTTTCAGCCCTCACACGTTACAGGGAGTACTAATTGAAGGAGGTAAAAAAATTGATCCTTTTTGTTCGAGCATCACTTTTATGTTTCTCTGTCAGGAGTTAAGTAAGAATTTTATCTTTTTTTGTATGTAAATATACAGTATGGTTAAGTAGATAGTTTTGTTTGACAATACTTTAAATTAAATAAATCTAACAACACATTACGTTCTGTTTTATTTACTTTAAAGAAGTGAGGAGTAGGGAGACCATATTATGTTTTTTTTGATACTGAGACTGGACGAGTAGATCTCGGCAAACTGCTGTGCTGACTTCAAAAGTAGCTCTTGGTTCAAAAAAGGTTGGGCACCCCTGCTGTAGGTACACTGTAGGCATACTGTAGGTACACAATAGGTACCATAATAACTCTATGTGTTAGATTGAGAATAGCAGCAACACTTCCACCAGTGTGACTGAGGAGTGAAGGAATAATGCAGGAAAAATTAAAACGTATCTGATCGTCCAGAAAAGCTCTTTAACACTAATGCATTATTATTTTATATCTGGAGTTACTGATCTGTTTCATGTATCAGACAATTTCCCCAATTATTCTGGACTGCACTCAAGTGAAATGCTTTGTTGAAAAAATTAAATGCTAAGTACTTAAGTATAACATACTCAAGTACTTTAACTTAAGTAATAATTTGACAGAGCTTTTACTTTTATTGGAGTAATATTTGACCTGTAGGATCAGTACTCTGTCGACCACTGACTGAAACACTAAAACATACATTTTATCATTTAAAATTGACACATTAAGGTATTTTCTCTTCTGAAACATGTCCTGTTTCAAATTAGTCAGAAGAAAACAACCAAACTGTTTTCTGGACCAGAGTTCATGTCTTTTCTCAGGTGATTTTGTTCTGGGTCACAAAGAGTTGTTGCTGTTTTCAGAGGTCATTGGATGAGAGGTGGGGTACACCTGGGACAGGACTCCAGTCCATCACAGGACCACATGAACATCACCTGCACCCAGTGTTTACTCTTCAGTTAAACTAACGTGAAATTATGTTGAGAATGTTTGACATTATCATGCTGTTTAAATACTTGTATCAAATATATATTTACCTCCTTAGCAAGTCTGCGAGCTTCATAGTAGGGCCTGGCTTTTTCAATGCAGGCACCGAGCTGGGAACCCTGAGCATTGAGCTTCCTGGCAGAGTCCGTCAGAATCCTTCTGTAACTGGACCTGGCATCCTGGAAAAACAAACAAACAAACAAAAAAAGACATGACCAAGCTGTAAAATTATTTAAATCTAACCTGAAGCAAACAGAAACAAGCAACAGATTTCAACATGTCTTTTTTTTTTAACAAAATCGAACACAAATATTAAAAAATAATACTTTAAAAGCTGAGTGAAAAACTAAATCCAGTCTTGTAGTCACTAAAAGATTTAAGAGGTTCAGGATCAGCCAGCTGCTGATTAAATGTTCCAGCAAATTCACCCCAATGTCAGACTGTGCAGTGCTCGGAGAACAAAACAAACAAAAAACCCAAGAGCTCCATGACTCTACAGAACCACAAGACTTCTGGAACAAATTCTTTAGACAGATGAGACAAAATGCAGATTTTTACCCATAATGCACAGCAGCATGTTTGATAAAAACCAAACACCTCCTCCGTGTATAAATTTTAGATTTGTAAAATAAACATGCATAAATTTTAGATTTGTATTCATGTAAAACCAAATATGTTTTCTGTGAGAATACAAGTTTAAAAGTTACAAATACAAGTTACAAAGTTACAACTTTGCAACATTACAAGTACGAATCACAAATTTACAAGTACAATTCTTTTACCTGTCAAAATAACAGACATTATGCATGGAACACTGAAAAGATCGATTGCAAACAGTAACTAAGCCAGACCACTAAGAGGACATGACCACTGCCTCCTTTGGGACCAGATGAACTTTTTATAAACACAACAATTTGCTGAAGGGAAAAGCATTTGGAGGCTTTTCAGTTTGTATGTAGTACAACAATAAAGTAGATAGTGGATTTATGATGAAATATGTTATTTTATTTAATTTTTACTTTAACAC